AAAAAAAAAATAAAGAAAGATATTCATGTGAATGGATTCATGGTATGAAATGCCCGGCATGCCGAGAAAAGTGTAGAAACTGCAATCATTACAAAAATTTTGGGAAAATGTGTCCTAAAATAAGATATGTGTGTGAATCATATCATCATCAAATTATACATTAGTTATGTGGGCGGTCATTAGTAGAACAGCACAATGTTAAAACCAACTTTTTCAGTTGATCCCAAATAAACGACGAGAGGTCCCTTATCAGTTGGTTCATAAAAAAAATCCGTTTTTGTATCGAAATTGATGCTCGATGCTGAGGTCAATCAAGCTAACCAAATCAGAGCCACAAACAATGAAAATTACAAGCAATAAAATGTATGGTATTAATTATTAATGCTCAACTTACCGTTGGACGCAAACACACGTTGATAGCTGAACGTGAAGAGTGGTTTTTTTTCTAAATTATCTGTCAACATAAAATTAGGTTATGTTGATCAGCGTGTTTATCGAACAAAGTGCAAATAAGTAACGAAGGGGGAATGTTATCATTGTTACCCTTCAGAGCTTAGACAAGTAAAGCATCAAAGATGTGCGTCAGAGCCATTGTGAACGATTCTTATTGGTCGGTGAGGGTGTCTACGCTACGTCATACTACAGTGGCTAAATAAACCTTACCAAACAGTGGCGATAATAAGGGTCCCGCCGCCATTTTGTCCCCACTCTTCGGTAAATTTGAATAGGAATTAATAGGATTTAAATGGACATCCATCATAAAAAATTGAAAACAACGTATTTGATGTACCATCGTCACCAAAAGTATCTGAGACAAAAATAATGCATAATAATCTCCTGGACTAATTCTACTGTCATTCATTTCAATGCATTTGATTCATAGTTTGACAAATATTTGACAATAAAATTCATATAATAGTACAAGAGCTAATATGATGCTGTCCCAGTTACTTTTGGTGACGATGGTACCTATAATTATACGTAAGCTGTCCAAATGACAACCCATCAGTCAGGCACAGGAGTCCTCCATATAAAAAGCTGATGTCCTATATTTGGGTCATGGGACTCTGTAGTTAAAATTTACATGCAAAGTCCTATGAGACATATTTGGTTAAAAAAAACCTCAGCATATATCATACATCATCAATAAAAAAAAAAACCAAAAAAAAATAAAAATACCTAAAATGTCAATGCTTCAATGTCCATGGCCCAAATATGGGTCAAATTTGTACTTTGCATAGTTGCCTTGTATACTACAGAGTCCCCTGTAGATAACGAGTAGATTGATGGATAGTGCGTCTTAAAACCTAATATGAAATAAAACCCAAATGTGGGCTAAATATGCGGCACAGGACTCCAGGACAGTGAACGTGATAATAGTCATCAAATACCTACGTTGTTTTCAATTTTTTACGATGGTTGCCCATTTAAATCCTATATATTCTTATTCAAATTTACCAAAGGGTGGGCACAAAATGGCGACGTCTTCCATATGAATATATAGGATTTTAAAGAACTTATCAAAAATAAGACAGCAATTGTCGCCACTGTGGTTTATTAGAGTCACTTTACATCATACGATACGATGCCGCCATTCCAGTACATTTAAAAATATAAGGAATGGAAACAGCATTTTTGAAAATTATTTATTAAAAAAATAGGACATTTCAAAGCCATCTGGAAGCGAGGGTATTTTTTGTTTTGGTTCATACAACTCATTGAAAATATTAAAGCATTGAAATTAAAATATGTTGCAACTCCCCATGGCTAAAAAATCCTGATGAATCAATTCGCCTATGTTTGGACCTTAAGCCTTCAAATGATGATATAATAAAGGAACGGCATCAATTACCTCTGTTTGCAGAGCTAGCGTCAAGGATGTCCCGGAGCTAGGATTTTTTTATTCTGGAAGCAAACGAAGTGAAGTTTTCTACCAAATTGAATAAAATAAAGAAGGTAAGCTTTAAACGATTTTTTTTTGCTGGTAGTTTTGGTAGATATTCTTATAAAGGGGTTTGTTTTGATCTTTGTTCGGCGCCTTCTGAAGTATTTCACAAAAAGTTTAAAAATATTTTTGAAGACTTGGAGGATGTTGAGGTATATATACAGGGTGTCTCCGTTCAACTGGTCAAAAAGGCTAGGGAATAGGGTATATAAAGGAACCATAGAAAAGTAGTTTGAGATAGGACACCGATGGTCGGAAGTAGGTCGTTTCCAAAATACAGGGTGTTGAAATTTCAAGAACCCCCTTTCATATCATCTGAATAAGGGCTAATGCTAGGCTGTTGAAATTTTCAAGGATTATTGATATTTCGAAATTCGTATAATGCACTCCCATTTTATACCTGGCACCCCAAAAAAAAAAAAAAAAAAAGCAATTTGTTTAAATTTTTTTTTTTTTTGAGGTGGTTCCAGGTAGAAAATGAGGTTGCATCATACGAATTCTTAAATATCATTGCTAAATCAAAAATCCCTGAAAATGTGAATCGCCTAGCATTAGCCCTTCAGATGATATGAAAGGGGTTGTTTAAATTTCAACACCCTGTATTTTGGAAACGACGCACTTCCGACCATCGGAGTCCTATCTCAACCTACTTCTCTATGATTCCTCTATAAACCCTAGCATTTTTAACCAGTTGAACGGAGATACCCTGTAGGTGATATATTGACATGGGCAACAGATGAAAAAGATGGCAACAGCAAATTGAAAGCAATATTGGAAAGAGTCAAGCGGAGTAATGTGGGATTTAAAAAAAAAAGTTTCAGTTTGGTTTCAGTTTGACACTACCTTTGTCATTGACTCAAAAAGGGAAATGATTATTAAAAACACTATGATGATCCTGATTTCTCTTTGACGAGTTGTTTTTTACAAAACGGTTTGCTAAAATATGATAAAATACGACATCAACCATTGAAGATGAATTAGTTTTTGTTAATGGATTAATTTTCAGAAAAAAGCTGTTTGTTCTTGTGCTCAAAAATTTTAGAGGTAAACTGCATTAAATCAAGACTAAAAAATGTTTTGTTCTGGCTATTCATCTTTAAGAAAATCGAGGATGTAGTGAAAAACTGATGCACTTGTAAGTTTCAGAAAAAATACGGACATGAATCTTCAATATTGAGAGAAGACCCAAATAGTTATTGGGAAATGGTAGGGGTTGATATTTTTCAATATAATAATCAAGCATTTTTATTGGTTGTAAATTATTTTAGCAAATTCTTTGAGGTTAAAAGATTGCATGCTGAAGCTGCAAATCGTTATAATTGGACTTGAACTAAATTTTGCCAGGTATGGTAAGCCTCGTATTCTCTATAGTGACAATGGACCACAGTTTTCGTGTGTAAAGCCCACACTACCCTAGATGAAATTCCATGGCAGAAAGATACATTCGAACGTGCAAACCATTACTCAAAATGCTGATGATTCTGGTCTTTTATAGCTTTGCTCAAGGGTTTGCTAGAGTATGGCAACACTCCAATCGATTCGCAGTTAGATAAATCACCAAATGAAATATTGTTTGGTCATAAAGTAAATGCCTTTCTTCCATTATTCGATTTTTTTTATGATACCTAGTGACAATAATTCTAGAGCTAAGACATTTTAAGAGGATATAGACAGAAAAAATCCATTAAACCTTTACTATTGTCTTATAGGGCTCTAACTTTTTTGGCAACGTAGTATCTCCCTACTTCACTGCTTTTATACGTGACTTCTTTTTTGTTGCTGATGGCAGCTGGCATTAGAGGCTGAAAATTTCAGCAATTTCCTGCTGCCCTCTCGAAATGTAGGCGTACAGAATGACCTATTTTGCACTTAGAATAAAGTGTAGGTATTGAGGATCAATAAACAACAGAATAATTCTTTATGGTGTGCCTTTTTTTGTGACACGAGTAATGTCAGCTCTATTTGCTGACCATTCATATAAACTGCTTAATTCGCTTTTCTTTATTATAAATATCGCTGCCCGCCTAGAATAGTTAGTCAGTTGAATTGTAATTATATTTCTTATTTGAAACTTTGTAACGCGAACGCGAAAGTATTTCTCTATTGTAATTTAGTGAATAAATTGTTTTTTAAAAACTTGTTATCGGCCTACGTATTGATAACTCACGCAAAAAAGTATAGCTATTTTCGATCAAGTACTCGAATCCCATGTATAAATTTAAGGCAAATGTTAAATTTATATTCACAAGTTTGTTGAAAAAGCAATAGGTTATTCACTAATAAAAATAAAATAAAAGTACCTATGTATAACAGTAGTCTACGTACATAAATGATTAGTTTGTTTAAACTAGACTAGGTAATGTTTACTCAAGTCACACGATTTAAAAAAAATATTATATCCATGGATACCTGAAAATATTGCCTTGTTGATGATAAAACAAGTTATTTTTTTCAATATCTATATATTATATTATTGAATTATTAATTATGTTATGTACTGAAGTTTTCTAAATAGAATGAAATAAGGAATCATCAGAAAATAAAAGAGTTTGCTATACTCTATTCTAATCCTCATGAAAAAATAAAATATTTTAAGGTTATTGAACAACCTTAAATATTATTCTTCTAGGCCATATTAGAAATCCCATACCTTGCACAAGGGGTTATACCTATATCACTTACATTTTCATATGCGAATAAGCACGAACTTTTTCGAAAAGTATACATGATTAAATATAGCCTGACTTACCAAACTTTTTTTTTTGTAAAAATGATTTTTGATGAATCAACTCAACTCATTTGCCCAGGCACATTCAATGACAAGATTTTTTTCTGTAGAACTTTAGCCAAGAAAATAGAAAATATATGAAAAATAAATGAAGCAAAATGAGCCTCAATTGCCTCCCAGCGAAAACTAATTTTTTGTGCAACAAAATGGCTCGAATAATTATTAAGATTTTTTATTTAACTCTAGAATATTTCTAACGCCACGAAACGAGAAACATAATTTCGATATTATTCCAAAAAAATTATTTCTAAAATAAATGGTACCCACCTTAAAAATTAACACATGACCACCATCACCCACAAAATCTAATTATAATGAGATGTAAATCGGCAACGGGTGATGAAATTAATGAGATAAAAATGGGTTTAGTTTATGACTTAGGAATGTAAATATGAAAAGTGTTTAGTTTAAAAGATAAAAGGTGAAACTATGATTACTTAAAGCTTCAAATAAGCTTTTCCATCGCATTTGCCGCGAATACCTGGTGAATTAGTTTTATTGGGCTTTATATATGATTATGTGAACTTATTATAAGAATATCAATAATAATTGAGGAAGTCTTGGTTTTTTTTGGATTTACAGCTTGCCCTTTTGTATGAAAAATAATGATATCGATTCATTGAAACTTGAACCGTTTTACCAGACTAGGTTTAAAAAAAAATAATTGCTTAAACTCTTCAAACGCAAGCACCTAGTTTCCTGCGACTCGGAAATATCTCGTTGCAAGGAAACTTTTGTGAAGTTTCCGGACTTACAATGATCCAAATCGACCCTATCGGAGTTTAATTTGAAAACCTCTAGACATAAGTATTTGGTTTCTAAGGAGCTTGAGATTGTGGTAAATTTTACAGAGAAATGAAAATTGCTGGTATGTTCAGTTTAGCTTTATGTGATTGTGGTGTTTGGTGCATATAAACAATGACGTCAATTATTGATACCCAATTAGGTATATTTTCGATTCAGAAACTTGTATTTTAAAAAACATTTATTTTATTAATTAAAATACAGAGGTGGCAAAACAAAATATGTGGATCAAATTGCTACAGCAAAAGCTTGAAATCAAATGAACGTTCCTTATGGGACTGCGCTGGCTTAAATAAGAATTTAATGCCGATATAGCAATTTGATGTTTACTTTAGAGCAATGTATTTAAAAAGTCATAGAGGAAAGAGGTAAGCTCATTAAAGCATATAAAAAATGGATATTTGATTATTAATTAGCGTGGCAATTGGTTAATATAACTCCTCCCTCCTTAAGATGATGCAAATGTGGATTGTTGTTTTGCACATTTGCACACCCTTTTTCTGAAGTTTCAAACTTCCTAAAACAGTAAAACAATAAAATTATCATTTTATCAAATATCTATTCAAATAAGAGTTTTCAAAGGACAATTCTTCGAGATTGTGAAAGCCTATTTGTTTCGTCATCTTGAAGGCTTCTTCTAGGTTTTCATGGTTGATTTCTTGAAGTTCCAATGTTGTTTTTTTTTTTGTATTTTTACAAAGCATTTTTCACAAGAAATTAGCATTGGATTGGATATAATATCCATATGGTTTGTCTTGTCACATTGGGTAACTATCGTCAGAGTTTTCCTAGGTTTTTCCTAGATGACTAATAATTGTCCATTCGGGAGTTTTCTCACTGTTCGTTTTGCATATTTCACTTTAGTGAAAGGATATTGTTGTAGTAGGTCAGTAATCAGGTCATAGACACATGATTCTTCTTGCTTGAGCACTTCTTGATTACAAAGGTACATATTTTCGATTTTTGGGCATTCCAATAAAGTATTGTAGTGAATGTGCGTAGTAAGTAATAGGTAATCGTACTTATTCCTAATGGTTAGTTCTTGGATAGGAATTGGCTAGATTTTATACAATATAAAGTGCTTGGAATTAATCATCGGTGTGTGTATAACACATATAATTAACTTACTTTGGATTTTTACTTGAGTTTTCATTGTCTGGTAATACTTGATTTTATTATCAAAAGGTATTTGCTGACTTTGAGGTATATTTGTTAATATTTGATTTAATTCATTATGCTGTAAAATAGTATAATGCATTATTCCCAATTGTGCAAAATTTATTGCTAATTGCACATGATCAATTAGATTCCTTATTTTATTACTTTGGTCATTGATATTGTTCAATATTAGATTAAAGGTTAACATTGAATGGAAATTTTGGTTTTCCAAGGAAATATTTTGTAATTTTCCTGTGATAACCTTCTGGTTAGATTCAATATCTAGAAATTGATCGTGAAATGTTTTTGTAACTTGTTTCAATATTTGAGCTTGTGTTTTTCGATCTTCATTGAGAGTTGTTTACTTATCATCAAGCGTCTGGATATAAGAATCGTATCTTGCGCCGTCTTCAGCATCTAGGGCTCCGTAGAGCCATTTTGGTGCTCCGCTCATGAAATTTAATAGACCTCTTTTATTACGTTTTCGGTCTTGATAGATTTTGATGACTTGTTTCATGATCCTAATTTGAGAATAACTGGGTTCGCGGACTTCTCTTGTCTCTATTAAATTGTTTTACGAAAATGGGATCTTGTAATTCTGGTTCGGGTTCACGATTTTTATTGCGTGATTCTGCAGACTCTGTTTGTTTCGCTAAAAAAATTTCTTGAATTTCTTTATTCAAACTTGCAAGGGATTCTGGCAAAATTGTTATATAGTCAGGTGTTAGTTTATTTTCTACTTTAATCACTTGAGAAGGGGTGTGATTCATTGTACTATCAGTACTGTTGCTATAATTCAATATAATAGCGATTTTCATTAGATCAATAATACTCTTATTCGGATTTTGGAGTTTTGAACTCGTTATACTTGCACGTAGTGTCGAATGGAATCTTCCGATTGGACTATTCGAGTTCGGATTTCTTGGAGTTGTGTAATGAAACTCAATTTTGTATAATGTACAAAGATCTGTCATTATAGGATTTTTGAGCACTGCTCCAGTATCTGATGTGATTTTTTGAGGTATTCCGTGATCACTAAATAATTTCAATAACTGTGATGTTATCTCTACAGCTGTTTTCGTATTTACAGGAGGGATTGATCAAATTTTGGAAAGCTATCAATAATGGTCAGAAATTTCTGGTTATTGATCATATATGTGTCAATATAAATATGTTCGAAGGGTTTCGACTAGAGTCTAGCCATCACATGTGGAGCAACTACGGTTGTAGCCGAAAGCCGAGCCGAGCGCATTGAATTCGAAGGAGGGTGTAAATTCGGTTGCAGTAAAAAATTATTGACTGGAGCAATGTAATATAGGTACTGCTAAAAAAAAAAAAAAAAAAAAAACATTTTAATTTTTATAAAGAACTCCTTAAATTGGAAATCAGGAGGAACCCAATAACAAAAATAATCTAAAAATCAATATTAATCATTTCCTCTATGGAGTAATTGGTACCTTTTTTCGATCATTTGTAAGTAAGGGGAGTTGTTCGGATGAGTATTTCATTTTGTTTTCATTTCATATAAAGTGTTCAATACTGGGTTTTTAGACAGTCTGTTCTACCGCCCTAGCGCCCAATAACTTTCCACATTATTGACGTTCATTAAGATTGAATCGATTTTTTTTTTCTGGATCATCCGAAATATTGAACGCGATAATTCGCCGGCTGATACCTCTCTAGAAATAATAAAATATAAGTAGGACAAAAATATACCAAAAAAAAGGACTTTTTGTTTATTTTTTTTTTTCTAAATTACTATCTTAAATCCGAAATACAAAAAATGTAATATTTTTACAAATAATTATTTCTTGGATGTAATTTTGTTTTGATAAAAATAGGAATGGTTGAAGACACGATAGAAATAACAATTGAATTATGGTCTCGATTTTCTATGCACGAGAGTTCGCTATTATCGGGTTTGCTCCGGCTGTGACGGCTAGACTCTAGTAGGGTTTCGTACCAATGGATGTTGCTTTAAATATGATTTTGTATGGTTGTTTTTCATACTTGGTTTTATTGCACATCTCGCATGCTTTGACATAATTCTGTACGCCTTTCTCTATATTGGGCCAATAGAATCTTTTCTTTAACATTTTAAGTGATTCCTCTATGAGAGGTTTTAGTCTCATGGTATTGCTGAATTTTCTCTTGTTGAAGATCGACTTTTATGCTGTCTTCTAATGAAGAGTTCGAGATGTACAAGGTAAATGAATTCGAATTAAACGATTCTTGTAATACTCGTATCACAATAGGTTCCAAAGATTTAATTAGGAAATGAACACAATAAATACCAGGTGGCATGTATTCCTTCACTAAATTAGTAATTTGTGATGTTGGATTATTTGGTAAGAAGAATATAATGCTCTTTTTATTACCAAATAGTTTGATTTCCAAATATATTTACATGTTTCTTGGTATATGGAGCTCCTAATTTTGGATTTTCCATAGACGTATGTATTGTTTGCTCATTTTCAGACAGGGCTGCAACTGTTCGTTCGTCATCCGAAGGTGTTATTTATCTTTTAATTTTTGAAGATTCTCCTATTTCTATGGGAATTTCTTTCTTCTCTTTCTCTTTATTCTGGGTGAAGAAAGATCCTCAGGTTCTTCATCAGATTCTTTTTCTGATACTGTGTTGATTGAGATGATTCAGACATTGTTACCTCTTTTTCTTCAGCTTTCTCGCTTTGTGTAGGAAGATATACTATATACTTTAGAGTCTGTAGAGTATTTTGCTATGATTTCATCATTACATAATGGTGTATCTTTCAGCATTACTCCTAATTTTTTATGAAATTCTTTATCTGCAGATGTTAATCTGGCATCTGGATCTGATTTTTGAATGGCATGAAGTTGTATTGCAGGAATTCTTGATAGTGCGTCTGCATTAATGTTTAATGTTCCCTTTTTGTATTTGATCCCATAATCAAATTCGGATAATTTTAGTCGCCATCTGACTAATTTAGAACTTGGTTCATTAACATTAAATCTGTGGTTTTAGGGTAAAAGTCCCTAAGTCAAAAATCACAGTTTCAGGTAAATGACAAATTAAATTTTACTCATGTTTCAAGAGAATGTAAAAATTGTTGGAATTATAATTATGTATGTCATTATTTTGTCAGTACCATTACTGGCACTATAGATGTCTTTATATGTTTTTAGATAGATCTATAATTCACCACAGCAATAGTTAGATTGACTTAAGCAAAATGACCCAACGTCAAATTAAGAGTTAGGCAGTTTTTCTCAGGAAATAGAACAATATTTATAGGGAAAACTTTATTTCAAAAAAAATTAATTAAGTACTTGCTGTTCACAAAAAAAAAAATAGTAACGAAATTACAGGATAATAATGAGAATAGGCATGGCCTCAAAGAGTTTTAGTTTTCATC